ACGAATTTTGTTTTAAAACAAGAATAAAAATAAGTACACCCCAAGCCGAAAACAAAACACGAATTTAAAACAAAAAAAAATGGCCGCTATAACACAAGAGATCAGATAATATTTGTGAAACGCTTAACGAACTTTAACATAACAACGTAGACGATTTTTTTTAAATGAACACTAAAAGAGGAGCTAAACAAAGAAATATTAACCCACGCCTTCGTGGCAAGAATATAGGTGTGAGCAATTTCTGGAGTGATAATAACGACTCGTGTCAGTCTTTAATAACACGAGGAAGAAAAGAATTCATCGGCTGTAATATAGTGGTAATACTAACAAAGATGAAAATATGAGTTCGAACATCTCATCAAATGATTATTTCAACTCATCTCGGAAGATAAGACAATAAAGAAGCCCAAAGACTTTATCGGCAGCAATAAAACAAATAGAGGTGAGATTATTAGTTCGAACAACTCATAGGATGGCGATTCTGACTCTGCTTTGATTTTAAGACAAAGAAGAACAAAGAAGGCATCGTTCAATTCTTTTAATAACATAGGTAAATATCATAATCCCATTTCGAACGTCTTATAAGATAACTAGCAGTAGAGCCCAGCGTTGCCCGGGGATGTAACAGTAAGAGATAGATCAAGTATCGACCATCATAAAGACTGAAAAATAAAATTGACAAAGATTATTGTTTAAGGTTGACGGACATGCATGTCTTAATTATTTTCTTTTTTTACGAATTGGTCAAACCCAAACTCAAACAAAAACATTGTTTTCAATCGTTATGAGTCTACCGATTGAATAGAATTTTATTATAAACAATTGTCTTGTAATTGGAATTTTTAAAGTAGTCTGAATGTAAAAATAAAGAAAAAAGTGTGAAGACAATAAGAAACACTACCTGCCAAAAAAAAAAGTGAAGTTTTGTTGAAATCGGTTGAAAAATGTAGGAAATCCGATCCAATATATAAACATACAGACACACACACACACACACACAATCTGCGTTTTATAATAAATAAGATGATTACAAGACATGTTAAACTTTGAAACAAAGGAGAAGGCTAAAGAATCCCTCTGCTGAAATTTTGTGATAAAATTACCAAACGTGAAAATGTCTTGATTATCACATATCTCTAAATTTCAGGTTTCATATATGCTAAAAAATAAAGTTTCTCGTTCGAACATCGAAGTTGTTAACATTGATTTTGTTACATTCATTTACGCGTAAATAACATTGGGAAAGATATGGATCCATCTTTTCTCTCCTCACCGGCTGTGGGTTAGATAGCAGACAGACTGGGCCCTATAGTCTCACTGGGCAACCAGTTTACCACAGATAGTAACGAGAGCCTGACTGAATTCTTCTGCGAAGTCAGTCATGAATCGAAAAGAGACAATAATTGCTCAAACATGCTTCACATATGACACCGAAGAAGGAAGGAAGTCACACATCAAAAAGACTAACATAGCCAAGATAGTCGATATAATTTTCAACGTTTCTCTTTTTTTATATATTTTTTTCAAAATATCTCAACATCACATAACGTATTAATTTTAGCGTTGTTAATATCAATCTGACTGGAGCATTGGTCACCAAAAATATTCTCACTGATATATATATATATATATATATATATATATATATATATATATATAGCTGGCCACTCGTATTCGAGGATCCCCGTCTACTAGAATGGATAGCCAATCCCTATGCTTTATTCAAAACCCAGCTGTGGGTTATACTGCGACTATGCCGAGCAGACCTTAGTTACAGTTTCTGGGAAAGAACGTGTTATCTAGCGTGAGCTGCAATGTGAAGAAGGGCAGCATGCTCAAGCCCTCGGTCACGATGACTTGTGACTTCGTGCTAGCACTAGCCAATTTCACTCACACGGCTTGGTATGGTTTTCAGGCACTTTCCCATTGTGCTGCACGCTAGGATCGACCCCTCCAGTCCGATAAATTAGCCTGATAATGGGGGGATCCGAACCTATGTCTCATGGTCAAAATGCGAACAATCTAACCACAACAACAACGTGCCTATTTTATATATATATATATATATATATATATATATATATATATATATATATATATATATATATATATATATATATATATATATATATATATATATATATATATATATATATATTAAAGACATTTTTTATGTTTAACGTTCTTTTTATATTAAATTTATATTAAATGTCTTTAATAAATAAATTGTTGGACGTTGTACATTTCTTAATATATGACGTCATTTGTTTACATTTGATACGCCATGAGCAGTTATGAATGTACGCGATTCATGGAAGATTGAAGTTTATAAGCAGTAGATTCAACCGTGCCAACCGGACGATCCTTTGTGGCCAAGAGGTTAGGCACGTCAGCGTAAATGACGGTTCCGTGTAGGATACAGGTTCGAATCCTGTCAAAGGACGAATATTTTCTATGAAAATTTCTCGGATATGTTATTTAATACTGTTTATTATAAACAGAGCATTTACTTAAATACTTGTATGTATACAAAGAACGTTAAACATAAAAATGTCTTTAATAAATAAATTGTCGGACTTTGTCCATTTCTTAATATATATATATATATATGTTTGTGTGTGCAGCTGATATTTTATATCATAAAGAAACCATTTATACAAAGAATTAAATAGCAATGTTAATGTGATTATTTGGCGAAATCACTTCGCTAACAGAACATAATGAAGCATTAACTTACTATCAATTCCTTGAATAATAAGATCTTTACATTCGAATCAGCGTCATCTTCAGGGCGCAAATTTCCCATAGATAGGCAAACACTAACACGTAATATGTGTAGATCGAAAGGTTTTTTGTCTTTTTTTAATTATGCTATTTATTGGCAGTTGAATATATTTTCGGTCTACACATATTTCGTCTTAGTGTTTAAGCCTGAGTTCAAAATATCCGTATACCGCAAACATATATTCAGCGGACAATACCTCAACTCCAACTCCCATTTCCTATACAGTGTAAATAAAGGGATCGTCCGCTGCTTACAACATCGAGCAAAAGTCATAAGTGGCGACCCAGAAACATACGAACAAAAAATGGTCAGTATAAGCAGTATCCTACAATGTAACATCTACCCCGGGTACATGACAGCAGCTCCGATAAACTGAGTAGAAGGGTACAAGGCGATAACAACACTCAGAAAGCAGCTTCAGTCCGCCTACCCTATGTGAAATGATTATTGAAGAAAATGCAAAATATCTGTGGTCCATATAACATCAGGACAATCTTCAAAAATGGTTCAATATTCGCAGACGCCTCTGCCGAGTGAGACCCCGCCATAGAAGAGAACATTACTAATGACTGCGTGTACGCCATCTCGTGCAACTGTATGAGGAGGACCAGGCCGTCCTCTTATGGTTAGATTGCAAGAATATCGTAAAGTCATAACACGAAGGAAAAGAGAAAAATCAGGCGTAGCTGACAACATATGGAGAGAAAAGTGAGATCACTGCCCCCTGTGCTATGAGGTTAAATATATATATTTAGTTGCGTTGATGTGAGTTTGTGACCCTGAGTTTCAAGCGCTTTGCGATCGTCAAAAAAAATCTGATGATCGCAAATGGCGTGAAACCCAGGATCACATCAACGCAACTAAATATGTTAGTTCTATCATCACTGATATTGATCGCTTTTCAATAAGTACCGCTCATATATAATATATAAACAATGCATATATATATACATATAATGGAAATATAGGAGGATTTGACAATTAAGTAATTCCTCGCGTCTGATAGAAACCTCAACAGAATGCAGAAAGCACTGGACGGCCGTTTCGTCCTATATTTGGGACTCATCAACAGTGCGCATACCGAGAATTGAAACCCTGACAGTTAGGTTGTCAAGCAAACATCATACCAACTGTTCCTCCGGGCCTCGGTGATGAAGAGATTGCAAATCAGACTCAATATAGCGCCGCTCGCTCACATGTTCCGTGGTGGAACTCAACTGAGATTCTTTCTAACCATAGGACTGTGCCCCCAGGAGCCACGACTACTATCACCAAGCCGCTCAAACTTGAGCATTAGAAGCCGGTTCAAGCAATGATATACAAATGATAGAAATTATTAGGAGGATTTGAATTGAGTAACTGTCCGAGTTTCAATTCTCGGTAGTGGATGCGCACTGCTGATGAGTCCCAAATATAGGACGAAACGGCCGTCCCGTGAATTCTGTTGAGGTTTCTTTCAAACCAGATGAATTACTTAATTTTATATATATATATATATATATATATATATATATATAAAACCTACTTGACGAGTATTTCTAAATAGATAGCGAAGAGGGGGACGCAAATGATGACTCTCCACAACACCCTGTCCTATGTTTCTCAAAGCCAAGTCTGTGGGGAGCCATGACCGCGTCCACGTACTGAAGGGAAAAATCTTTACGAAAATATTCCAGTTGCGTAGAAAGTTCTCGTAAGAAATGGTTATGGATTGAAGCAGATGTCAAGAATGTTGATGTCGCCAAATGTTTTTGCTTTCAAAGCCAAGTGCAGTGACAGCCGAAGGCTCTCAGTAAAATTACCAAAAATCCAATGTGTACAGTTTCTTTGTTGTAACAAATCATGGCCGCCGGAAGCCAAAGGTACCTCAGGCCAGATACGTGATACTTGGAAATGATTCGATTTTTGGTTTCATAAGAAGTTAATTCGATATTCCCTGTCAGATTTGTCGTGCATTGGTTGAGAGAAAAAATATAAAAAACACCTGTGAAAACATAACAAAATTCTAATAGGTTTGGGTTATTTGAACACAAAATGCTTTCTTTCTTCTTTCTTTCTATCGATCAGTTTCACTGTGTTTATATCCATCTTCAAGTTTTTTCATTTCTCTCTAACGATCAAATTCAGTCTGTTCCAATCTATCTGTTTCTCTCGCTCTCTCTCTATCTATCTATCTATCTCTCTCTCTCTCTCTCTATCTATCTATCTTTATAAGCCATTTCATATCTATCTATCTATCTATCTATCTATCTATCTATATTTATAAATAATTTCTTATCTATCTATCTATCTATCTATCTATCTATCTATATTTATAAGTCATTTCTTATCTATCTCTCTATATTTATAAGTCATTTCTTATCTATCAATCTATCTATATTTATAAGTCATTTCTTATCTATCTATCTATCGATCTATCTATCTATCTATATTTATAAGTCATTTCTTATCTATCTATCTATCTATCTATCTATATTTATAAGTAATTTCTTATCTATCTATCTATCTATATTTATAAGTCATTTCCTATCTATCTATCTATCTATCTATATTTATAAGCCATTTCATATATATCTATCTATCTATATTTATAAATAATTTCTTATCTATCTATCTATCTCTCTATATTTATAAGTCATTTCTTATCTATCAATCTATCTATATTTATAAGTCATTTCTTATCTATCTATCTATCTATCGATCTATCTATCTATCTATATTTATAAGTCATTTCTTATCTATCTATCTATCTATCTATCTCTATTTATAAGTCATTTCTTATCTATCTATCTATCTATCTATATTTATAAGTCATTTCTTATCTATCTATCTATCTATCTATATTTATAAGTCATTTCCTATCTATCTATCTATCTATCTATCTATCTATCTATCTATCTATCTATCTAGTCATTTCTTATCTATCTATCTATATTTATAAGTCATTTCTTATCCATCTATCTATCTATCTATCTATCTATATTTATAAGTCATTTCTTATCTATCTATCTATCTATCTATCTGTCCCACTCTGTTCATATCTATCTATCTATCTATCTATCTATCTATCTATCTATCTATCCCAGTCTGTTCATATCTATCTATCTATCTATCTATCTATCTATCTATCTATCTATCTATCTATCTCAGTTTATTCGTATCTATCTGTCTGTCTAAGTCTATTCCTATCTATCTATCTATTTTACTATATTCCTGTCTATCTATATATCTGTCACAATCTCTTCATATATATCTTTCTGTCTGTCTCAGTCTATTTCTATCTATCTATATATGTAACTATTTATCTCAATTCGTTTATATGTATGTATCTAATAGTAGACAGACACTAAAGGTTAACATCGAGTGTTGTTTGTTTGTTCCTTTATCCCAATCTTCAGGGCCTGTGTGTTGCTCGACGTATTATATAGGTATAGTGAATGGGGCATTATGTGTAGCAAGATCAAATATCTCCGCTTTGTTGTACTTTCTTAGAGCTTGGTAGATAAGCAGGAATGATTATATTTTCAGTTATTCTAAAGGCTAAAGCAGTTTTTCTTTAGCTATTGTATATGTTTCTTTGTTAACTTTTAAGTCATTATTTTTCATGGATTACTAACTGTATATTTGTATTTATTCATTCACTTTTGATTATTATTAATAAATTTAATTAATTGTGGGTTTGCGTGCATTCATAATATTTTTTATTATTTATTAACTGTATTTATATATATTTATATATTTATTTCCTTTGGCGTGCTTGACTATCTTCTTTGTTTTGTTTAACGCTTACCACAATATATGCGTTGGACAGAGTTCATAGATTTGTTCTTTCTTAATGATATTTTATATGCTACTTATTTTTAGTTTTCGTTTTTTAGTAACACAGTAAAAGTTTCGTGTCTTCATTTATAGATAAGTTTCAATCGTTTATTTAGCAATTTGCCTGGGTCTGGAAAAGTGATATATATAAAGACATTTTTATGTTTAACATTCTTTTTTATAGATACAAATATTTAAGTAAATGCTCTGTTTATAATAAACAGTATTGAACAACATTTACCGGCCTGAATTTTCGAGAAATTTTCACAGAAAATATTCGTCCTCCGACAGAATTCGAACATGTATCGTATACGGAACCGTCATTTAGCTTGGCGTGCCTTTACCGATTTGGCCACGAAGGAACGTTTGGTTAGCAAGGTAGAATTTACTGTATTTGAACTTCAATCTTCTATGAATCTCTCACGTACATTCATATCTGCTCATGGCGTATCAAATGTAAACAAATGACGTCACACATTATGAAATGGACAAAGTCCTACAATTATTTTAAGACATTTTTATGTTTAACATTCTTTTTATAGATACAAATATTTAAACAAATGCTCTGTTTATAATAAACAGTATTAAACAACATTTACCGGCCTGAATGTCGGAGGACGAATATTTTCTGTGAAAATTTCTCGGACATGAATGCGCTGAGTTGTATGACATTAAATCTTTATTATATGCCCTTCAAGATGTTGCTACTGCACTCATAATAAATTCTGTTCAGTGTTGGTTGGTTGATTTTGATATAGAGGGCCTCGATAATTTGAATTTTTTTGTTTATTATTTTCATTGTGTATTATATTGGTGTTGTCAACAAGTATTTCCCTGTATTGTGAGGGTGGACAGGGATGAGTTTTTTTTTTAAATATAGTGTAATAAAACTTGTATCCGACAAATGAAACGTAAGACATCTTGATAATGTTGTGGTCATCAAATCAACATATGTATTTACTTCTTTGTCAGAGATACAATCTCCCAAAAGACATTTACAATGTTGGTCTTTTCTAAATCACTAGTTTATATATATTTAATTGCTTCACACCAAGAGATACAATAAAGTCAGTAAAACGCGGCTGGTTACTGAGTATGAGGCAATGTGAGAAGGAAAAACACTATTAAGGAGAGAAAACAGGAAAAGAAAATGAATTAAGAAAGTTTTTAGCATACGGTTACATCTAGCCATTTCAACTGTGAAATGATGAGACCTTGCCGCTAATCTATAACTGCGCTTAAATTAATAAAGTCTGGGTACTATAGAGTAAAGTGATATTTATTTGTAATTAATTACAAAATATGACACAAGAACAAAATGGCGAATTCGAAAAACGGCGATCTTCATCTGTCTTAATTTTAAACTTAGCTAGCCACAAACATTGACCCAAACAACGCCACAATATTCCTTATACCAAAACAACGCATTCTGACGCTGTTTACATTATTCGGACTATTGTCTCATCTTTGTCGCCATATTTATCACAACGCTCAAGGACACATGGCGCAGTGGATAAAGGCGTTAGTTAGATCCAGTGACAGAACCCAAAGAGTGTGAGTTCAATACCCGGTTACGGCGGTGGAGAATTTAGAGAGGGGAATTAACAGGAGGTAACTGATAACTGACATCCATTAGACATGGCACGTGGAACTAGAACAGTCTACCCCAGTGAGCGAAATTAAGGGTTCAGTTCGACATTCCTACCATCTGAAGAAGGCCGGGGCGTACAACGGCCGAAACATTGTGATAAATATGGCAACAAAGATGAGGACATAATATCTCATCTCAGAAATATAGACAGAGACGAATACTTACTTACCTTTCTTACTTCATTCACCATAATACCTCATTGTCTCTATGAAAGTCCTAAGTAGTTTCCATATGTATAATTCGTTGCCTGGGGTGGGGGCGGATAAAAAAATGGAGAGGAAAGTTCATTAGATCAATTACTATGAAAATATTCATAGAAAAGACACAAGGACGTTAGTCGGACTATATATATCTCGGGTTTTTCCTACTTATCTCTCTACCACTTGTGTCTATATCTATCTCTGTTTATATATTTCGGTCAATTTATTTAAGTCTATGTATCTGTCCATCAATAAATCTATTTATCTGCTTGTTTGTCTCGTCCATGCATTCAGATTGCCATATAATCTGTCTAATTAATCCTCTAATTTAGTGATAATCTTACGCCTGGTCAGTACTTAAATGGGTAACCGCTTGCGAATGCAAGGTGCTGTAAACTTGGATGAGCGGGTGGTGTAATGAATAAAGGATCGGTGTTGTTAATCAGAGAAACGCGCTCCAATTCTCGTTGATGACATATTCATTTACGCGCAAATACTCTCAGGAAAGTGATGAATCCACATCTTCTCGCCCCCGCTATGGGTTAATTATTAAAACTTTTATCACTGAATAATTATTATCTCCACCCCCACAAAAACTGTTACAGTCTAAATATATTCTGGCTTTAAATCCATTTATTCTAAAACATTATGGATTTAAATAAGCTGCGAAGGGTTGATAAGCCGTAAAAAACGAATCAATCGTTCGTTAACATTAATATAAAAAATGATGATTATATTAATATCAAGGTTTGTAATATACTTTGAAAACTGTATGAGATATTAAGTTTTAAAGACTTTCTTCCAGAAATAAATTGATTTAAACTTGTAGCGCCAGTCCAAAAGGCAGATGTTACTCGCTAACTGCTACAGGGTTAATTCGCAGGAAGCCATTTTTAATCACTGATTTGAAAAAGCGGGTTATATACAGAAGACAATTTAGATATTTCTGAACTTTTTTGACACCATGCATGACATCCAAATAAAAGCATCTATCTATCTATCTATCTATCTATCTATGTTCATATCTTTCTATCTATCTATGTTAATAATCTCGTATATTCTCAGCCTGTATATATGTAACTTTGAGTTCTTTTATTAACCATACCAATCCGGCACATTAGGTGTTAATTGCTCACCACAACTTCCTATTCTTTGTCACATTAAATAATTCTATACCATGCATGGCATCCATATGAAAGACTCGATCAGAAGAGACTATCTATCTTAGTCTGTTCATATCATCCATCTATCTATCCATCCATCTATCCATCTTAGTCTGTTCATATCCATCTATCTATCTATCTATCTATCTATCTATCTATCTATCTATCTTAGTCTGTTCATATCTATCTATCTATCTATCTATCTATCTATCTATCTTAGTCTGTTCACATCTATCTATCTATCTATCTATCTATCATATCTATCTCCATCTATCTATCTATCTATCTTAGTCTGTTCATAACTATCTATCTTAGTCTGTTCACATATCATCTATCCATCTATCTCTATCTTAGTCTGTTCATCTGTCTATCTCCATCTATCTATCTATCTATCTATCTTAGTCTGTTCATCTATCTATCCATCTATCTCTATCCATCTATCTATCTATCTTAGTCTGTTCATATTCATCTATCTATCTATCTATCCATCTATCTATCTATCTATCTATCTTAGTCTGTTCATAACTATCTATCTTTATCTGTTCATATCTATTCTATCTATCTATCTATCTATCTATCTATCTATCTTATCTGTTCATAGCTATCTATCTATCTATCTATCTTAGTCTGTTCATAGCTATCATCTATCTATCTTCTATCTATCTTAGTCTGTTCATCTATCTATCTATCTATCTATCTTAGTCTGTTCATAACTATCTATCTTAGTCTGTTCATATCTATCTATCTATCTATCTATCTATCTATCTATCTATCTTAGTCTGTTCATAGCTATCTATCTATCTATCTATCTTAGTCTGTTCATAGCTATCTATCTATCTATCTATCTATCTATCTATCTATCTATCTATCTATCTTAGTCTGTTTATAGCTATCTTTGTATATTAATGCAGTGAATTCCGAGATGAAATCCGGTCTCAAATGAATGACAAACGCAGGAATCAAATATAGCAAATATATGTATTGACGTAATAATACAATTGGTAATACGGTTAGTAGATCCAGAAATGCGGTTAGTAGCAATAATAATAATATATATATATATATACAGTCTGGGAAATTCAGTATCGAAGTAAGACTTCCTTCTGAGTCTACGTGCTCGCAACTGTGACTCCTACAAAGCGGTTACCTCACAGTCTCACTCTTTCACTGTTCACTGTATCACTCTATCAGTGTATCTCTCTTCTAACTCCCGGGCATTCACTGGCAGCAGTACAAGTACACACTGGGCGAGTCCACTTGTATGAAAAAGGGGTGGACCCCATAACAATTAATAATTTCGTATATTCCTCAGACCTGTATATATTTATCTTCGAGTTCTTTTATTTACCATATGCCTCCGTCACATGAGGTGTTAATTGCTCTCCACAACTTCCTATCTTTGTTACATTAATTAATTCTACTCCCTAAAAGATTAAGTGAATTCTGTGAAGTCTGACGCTCATAGTCCCCACCCCCACCCCAAGAGAAGAGAATGGAACTCATGGCTTGAAAGGAGGATAAACGAAAGCCGATGGTAAATGAACTAAAAATTGGAACAAATAAATGGTCGTCTTCGTGTACATAATGGTGTCCTGCAAGTAAAATGTGAAATGTACTGAAGATTTAAGGCGATTTCTTCTCACTCTGTTATGATGTTGATTTGGGGTTAGTATAGACAAACGCCAAATAACACGTAACAAATAAAAGGGTTTTAATAGGTTGGTAAAAAGGTACAGAAATCACCTGAGTAGTCAATAACTAGCTCAGCTAAGAACTTCTCTGTCTATCTATCTTCCCCATGTCAACTGACATGCCACTGTTTAAAGTCTTTGTTCACAGACGCAGACAAGTTCATCTTCAAGAGGGGTGGTAGGTTTCCCACACAACACACTCACTCTCCGACAATATGCACTATTCATCGCTTGCGAACATGTAAATCTATGAAACAACAAAAACACGTCAAAAATTACGTCAAATACTTTCACGTGTAGAAATATTGTTTTGCTGTTGTACTGACTGATTCAACCATTTTGTTTTGATTTCTTGATATAATTGTTGTGTATGTTGGCTTAGGAGAGTAGTAATCCTGCTAGAAAAGGTGATATTGAGAAGAAAAAAAAAAACGGCTAGATTAATATTTGGATAATATTCAATGGCGGCACTCTCGAGGATATTCCATCTGAGTGAGTTATTTTCTTTTTTTATGAGTGTAGCATTTTTAAAATCAAAATTGTGGTTGAATTCATTTCAATGTATGACTAGTGCATTAGTTAAGTTGTTTTTTGTAAGGTCTCTTTTGGGCTCATAGATGCGTTTTTTAACAATAAATCAAAAGACAATGGTTGAATCCGTCAACACAATAAAAAAACAATATTTCAATACGTGATAGTACTTGACGTAATTTTCACTTGACAATATGAATACAATAGCGTTTTCTAAATTCTTCTAGTTGCTAAGGATATTTTGTTTGTTGTATGCCATATGCCCCAGTCAACCACTGTGTTTATAGGGCGATTATGTGCCGACTAGGAGATATATACACTCTCACACCCGTGGAGAGATACAAGCTATCTCTCTCAGATCGTGAGAGTGGACAATTGGTAAACAAAAATATTTTTAAGACCACTATTCGATTGGGATAATCGAACAGTAATCTTTCCCAGGTCCGCTTCGTTTTCAACACGAATACTGATCCACAATGCAAAGATGAACTAGAAGGCTTTGCGATTTTTGGATACAATACTTTTAATATATACAAATATACATATATCAAAAATAAAAGAACAGATAAGTATGAGTTAAAACATCCGACGACTAGATCTCAAACTTATTTCGGGATATCAAATTCGCCTAACACCAAATGGATTCAACTGAACCCGAACATACAAAAATATAAGTATAAATTACTATGAATTGAATGCAGAAGCCAACGCACACACAAAAAGGATGGGATAGGAGTTATAATTATTGTTTTTACATGTGGAAAGGTGTTTGCAAGAACATAATATTCATGGATGTATGTATATCTTTCTACTACGGGTCCAAAATATGATTACTTATCTTTTATATTCAGTTCTCTTTTTTTATATATATCAATGTCCTTTCTTTTCTTTTCTCGACACAAACACAATTTCACACACTGTCCGGCTGTAACAGAGGTATACACTTTCTTCCTCTCTTTGTTTCGCCTTTTTCTCTCCTTCCTTTTCTTCTGTCGACAGCTCGTCTTCCAACCCGACTTACTGCAACAGGGATGTACACTTTCTTCCTCTCTTTGGTTTTCTTCTTTCTTTCCTTCTTCTTTTTTACACATTTCAGCTCATAACAGAGGTATACACTTTCTTCTCTGTTTTCCCTTTTCTTTCTTCACACAATTCAACTTGTAACAGAGGTATACTTTCTTCCTCTCTCTGGATATCCGTTTCTTTTCTTTACACAATTCAACTTGGGATTATCGAACAGGAATACATCTTGTCCGGAGTTGCCTGGATTGAACTGGATAAGTTTCATTACTATCAAATGCGTCTTATCTTTCAGCGCTTCGGCCACAGGTTTTGCCTCTTCAAAATCAAGATAGCAACTGATCCTCGAGTGAATCTCTGACTGTCACGTGTCTTAAGTTTTGGGCGCGAATTCTAACTTACCTCTGTCTAGCTTCTGTCTAGACATTTGTCGCTAACGTTGATTGGGTCAGCCAACCTTCTGACCTGCCTTCCCAAAATGTCATAAGACTCACACGTGACCTTTATTCTGTTGCTAGGCGAAATTAACCCTATCATATGCGTATTTAGGCTATCTGCTTTCATCACACATCACAGTTGTTAATAGTTACTTTGTTTTCAATAAAGTCATTTCGTTTTTGCCTTGAAAAAGTCCACATTGGACGAAACGCGTCGGCTAATGATACGGTTTTCCTATGGTCTTTTACCTTTATACATACTGTCTTTTTCTACAGAAATTTCTGAGAAATTTTTCATATATATATGTGGGTGTGTGTGCGTGTGTGTGTTTGTGTGTGTATATGTGTGCGTGTGGGGTGTATTTAATGGTGTTAGATGACAGACACATTTCATGGAAAATGGTTCAAAATATGGCACATATATACGTAGTTCATGATATAGAGTAAAATGCGTCCTACGGTAAAATACTATTGTCAATGTGCACTCCTGAAATACTGTCATTATATGAGGGTAGTTTTTACAGTTTATCAAATAAAACAATAATATTAGGAAATATTTACAAATGAAACAATTTTGTAATAATTATTCTTGGACTCGACCTTTTCACGAAGGCAGGTTTTTTTTTCTTTATAGCTTTTATAAACATCTTCGATAGCATTTTCATAAGAATGTCATTGCAAATATTTTTCGTTAGTTCAAGGGAGATAACTGTACACATCAACAAGGTACATCTATTAGATCAATGATGCCAACTTAGAAATATACTTTGCGCATGATTTATTAAGTATTATTCTTCTCTGGGAACCAGTTGCAATATCTTGAAGAAAAAAAAAATGAGAAATAAAAACAGAAATTATTCATGACTGAAGCTTATATCTATATAATAAATGCGAAAATGTTCGTGTTTTACAAACTTTTTCAATTAAAAGTCACGGATCTCTAACTTTTAAATATCTTATCTCCTCCTTCTATATAATAAATGCGAAAATATCTGTGTCACACTTTTTCAATTAAAGGGACACAACTGTCTAACTTTTAAATATCTCATCTTGTACATAATAATGCGAAAATATCTGTCTGTCAGGTTTTTTCCATTAAAGGAGCACAACTCTCGAAATTTTAAATATCTCATATTCTTCAAATGAAATTTGCTCATTCAGGACAGGAATTGAATCCTCAGATTACAAATTTAGCTCTCTGGGAAGTTGAAGACAAAGTGATGAATTTGGCTCAATTTTGATCTACTAGACAAATCAACAGAAATATTTTGAGAGAATCAGGATACAATATGGAAGAACTGCGGCAATGTGTTCAAAACAGTGATCCCCTATTGAACCAAGACCAACAGCAAGGGCATCAGAACAACAATGGAGGGATTTTCTTTTTGGATGTTCCTGGGGGTACTGGTAAAACTTTTGTGACTTTCTTTTATTTGTAGTGAGACTTCAAAGAAAAATAACTCTAGCAGAAGCATCATATCGAATTTCTGCTACCCTCTTGCCTGGAGGGCGTGCAGCACACAGCACCTTTAAAATCCATTGGATTTGAAGTACAATGAAATCCCTATTTGCAATATCAAAAGAGGAAACAACTTGGCTAAGCTACATGCGAAAACAAGCTTCATTGCCTGGGATGAACGTACCATGTCACACAAGCGAACATTAGAGGGCCTGGAAAAAACAAAGACATTAAACAGAATTCATAAATAATGGGAGTTATCACTGTGCTACTCCCTGTTGATTTAGACAAATATTATTGCAAGAAGAACTTCAGCTGATGAAATCAATGCTTGCCTGAAAAAGTCTTACATCTGGAGCCATGTTCAAACAAACCTGAGAGTTAGAATCACAGGTGACCTTGAAGCAAGAATATTTGCTGGTTTGCAGTTGCAGCTTGGCAATGGAACCATGAAAATGGACCAAAATGGAAATATTTAACTCCAAGTATCCAAGACTTAATTAACCCTGTTGATCCAAACATTAAACACCATTTCATGGATTCAAACTAGCTTTGTGAGATCACCATATTAGCTCCCAAGAATCAAACTGTAGATAGTATCAACTGGAAACTTAAAGAAATTTCAAAAGAAAGCATAAAGTGTTTTCCATTGACTCTGTGGTTGAACAAGAGCTGGTAGTGAATTATCCAGCAGAGTTCTTTAACTGAATGAATCCTCCTGAAATGCCATTACACAAGCTGGAATAAAAATGAATATGCAAGTTATGCTATTGAGAAATCTAGATCTTCCAAAGCTTTGTAATGGAACAAGGCTAATTGTCAAGAAAATGCTTATCTCTTGAAAGCAGAGATCCTTACTGGTCCAGCAAAGGAGGAAAGAGTTTTAATTCCAATAATCCCCTTAATTCCTCCAGATCTTCCTTTGAGAGTGAGCTATGCAATATCAAACAATAAGTCCCAAGGACAATCATTGAAAGTAACTGAACTTCATATTATGTAACGGTGCTTTTCTAACGTACAGCTCTATGTTGCTTGCTGAATTGTTTGCAATGGAAACAAGCTGTTTGTACTGAGTCCGATTGGGAAAACCAAAAATGTTGTTTATCATGTAGCGATGCAATAAGTTCCAAATATACAAATTATGTCACTGTTTTGATGAAAAATGTTTGAAAAATATTGTTCAATTTTAATAAAATCTAATATATACTCGTTGCATGAAGTGTCATTTTGGGGCCGAAGAACCAATCAAGAGTCCTCCTGGATTTTGAAAAATCGTCTAAAAAATGAATGATTCTTGCCTTTTTCAAGGCTCACTTGAGGCTAGCACTTGAGGCTATCACTTTCTCTTCATTTAGTTTTTATCCTATATTTATTAATAATATTATCAAGAAATTAACACATTATTACATGAAGTTTCCTTAAAACTTTACCTCTTTTTTGCTTAATTTACCTTTCTGGTTGGTTGGTTTGTTGGTTGGTTTGTTGGTTGGGTTTTATGGCATATCAACCACTGTAGGTCATTTAATGCCAAATTAAGTTATATATATATATATATATATATATATATATATATATATATATATAGTATTATTAAAGGTATAGCTGGCAACATTATTTTTTCAAAAAACGTAGAGCTGGCAACATTATTTTTTCCAAAAAACGTATTGCTAGCAACATTATTGTTTCAAAAACATATAGCTGGCAACATTATTTTTTACAAAAAAAGTGTATAGCTGGCAACATTATTGTTTCAAAGACGTATAGCTGGCAACATTATTTTTCCGAAAACATTATCTGAGGCCTTGCTGTTGGACGTAGTTTATCGCCATACCCAGGACGCGGATGTAGTTTATCGCCATACCCAGGACGCAGTTGTAGTTTATCGCCATACCCAGGACGCAGTTGTAGTTTATCGCCATACCCAGGACGCGGATGTAGTTTATCGTCATACCCAGGACGCGGATGTAGTTTATCGTCTTACCCAGGACGCAGATGTAGTTTATCGTCATACCCAGGACGCGGATGTAGTTTATCGTCATACCCAGGACGTTTACCTTTCTGGCTAACGGTAATCTTAGATCTGTACGATTTTAAATTTTTAGTACTCCTCCTCTGTAAAAAAAAATGGGACGCGTTACACAAATACGTTAAATAGCTTTAGCATCCTAGATTAATAGGCGTAAATAAACCCAAACAAGGTAGGAAACTTATTACTGATTAAATCGAGAGGGTGGCTCTAAACTTTTGATCGAGAGAGAGAAAGAGAGTTTAAAATCTGTTATATGTGGGAGGTGGGCTCAGTATCATAAGAAATTGGTGGTGAGCCATGATCGCCAACGTCCTGAAGGAACAGGGCGCATAGAGAAGTAGAAGAATCATGTATAATTATTTAAAATCTTTTTTACCCGATTTTATTTTATTTTATTTTATTTTTAGAGAAGGGCCTCGAATTTCCTATATTTTAGGGTCTCAGCAGGTGAAAGCCTGACCCTGGCAAATGAAGGCTGGAACATTTAAATTACCTGCAGTGTCGGGCTTACTAAATCTTGTAAAATTTTCTTAGGTTAAATATCAACAAGATGTCTAAACCATCATCTACCGGTGACTGGTAGTTGTAATCCAAAATAAAGAAAACAAATCAATGGCGGCTCAATTACTGCCATGCCAAAAGGTCTCGGACGAAGTCACGTCTAAACGGAATATAAAAAAACGAGAAAAAATATAATGGCGGATCAAATTCTGTCACGTCAAACGAAATTCAGGTAGAAAACGACGGAAAGAGATTCTCTCTCTGTGTGTCCTATCAGGTAGTTTCAGACGTAAAAAAATTCTGAATGAAGTTCTCTAACAAATTCTCATGTCAAGTGAATTGCCAATCATGTCCAACAAAATGAAGATATCAATGCTATCGCCCTCTTGTCACGCTAGACTTTTGTTTTACTTTAGTTCTCCCAATACAAAGCTCAATAGCCACTCAGGGTAGAGGGTTACTGAGTAAGATTATTGTAAAGGAAGATGCATATTAAAAGTATATGTAGGATAGATAACGGTTGACCCTAGACTTGAAGATCTTAAGATTGTAGTCGTCGGGAAAGCATCCTCACGGGAGTTTATTTAGTAACAGTTCTGAAGGAGGAGTTGTCTGGGTTAAACGTACTCCTTAGGAAAGAAACACAGAGGAAAAAAGGGTGATTTAACGCCGTGTACGCGGTATGGTGTGTCATAGGTGTGAAGGTCTGAATTGGTGGAACTAAGGAATGTAGGTTATTTGAACATTTTCCATAGTAATCGCGATAGAGTAGTGAGAGGCTAGCAACGAATCGTCTGTGCGATAAGGGTTGCAGGGTCGAAAATAATGAATCACCCACAAGGCCACGTAATTGATTCTGAACTGGGCGTACCAACACAGGTATGGCGACCGTGTTCCATTCTTGGTTTGGTCTCATTCATTCTCATTTGATCTCA